AATTCAGCATGGTTATAGAAAGTCCCTAGGTTTCAGCCTGTGGCTGGAATTGAGACTTAAGGGATGTGAGCTTAAGAGAGTATTCTCTTCTGTAAGTTATTCAGTGCTATTAAAAGTCACCACCACCCTGTGGCCTTGAATTCTTCATGCCCATATCATTTTAGGATGGCAGTGAGGCAGTCTCTCAGAGCTGGGCCTTTAGTAGGCATGTCATTCCTGATAACTTCAGCTAAATTAATTTACCACATGTCATGGGCCACCTGATTACCATCTCAGACTATTAGCAGAACTTTCACTCTTTTCTATCCTATCTAAGCCAGATAATCTATCCCAGATTTTCCTTATTTCCCTACTTCTTTGTACTAAGAGTGGTACCAAATTCTGTACCAGTTAAGAAATTTTCAGTGACATTGAAAACAGAATCTGTTACAAGGGAAAAAAATTTTTTTATAGAAGCATATTGGGGACTAATAGAATCATAAGAAGTTGGAAGATTAAGTTTGGAAAATGAACAGGAACCAAAGCAGTGTGAAGCCAAGAAGAAGGAAGCAGAACAACCATTTTGATGTTTCTGAAGTCACTGCTGCCACTATTGTGTAAATTCTGTCATGCTTCAGTCATTCTATATTCAACAGATCCTGCGCACATCTGATGGGCCAAGCCCAGGTCCTGTGCCCACACCCTACTGGGAGCAGGGAGAGGCTATATCGCCCTCCTCTTCTTTAGTGGGCGATGAGGTGCTCCAACACAATGGAGGATCCTCAGAATTGGAGAAGAGGGAGTATTACATCCTGGAGAGCTAAAAACAACAAAAGTAGAAGTAAGGAAATACTGTATCTGGTATAAGGAGCCCTGGTGTGCACTGGTTAAAGTGCTTGGCTGCTAACCAAAAGGTTGGTGGTTTGAACCCACCAGCAGCTCAGTGGGAGAAAGATGTGGCCATCTGCTTCCGTAAAGATTACAGCCTTGGAAACCCTATGGGGCAGTTCTACTCTGTCCTATGGGGTCGCTATGAGTCGTAAGTTACTTGATGACAGTTGTCTTAGGTTGGGTTCCCTAGAGAAGCAAAACCAGTAAAGTGTATAAATATGTATATAGAGACATTTATACCAAGGAAACAGCTCACTTGATTGTAGAAGCTGGAATGTCCCAAGTCCATGGATCAGGATAGAGGCCTCTCCTGATTCATACAGCTGCAGGGGCTGGCAAACCCAAGATCGGCAGGTTGGAGAGCAGGGTTCCCGCTCACAGGCTGTGAAGGTCCACAAATCCCAAGATTGGCAGAAAAGCTGAAAGCTCAAGTCCCAAGAACTGGAGGTGAGATGAAGAAGAGGTAGCTGCAGGATCCACAGTGAGCAAAAAGCCTGAACGTCTGCTTATATTTGGATGCAGGCGACATGACCAAGGAAACTCCCTTTCAACTGATTGGCTATTCACAGCAGATCCCATCATAGGAGTGATCACATATAAACACTGAGAATCATGGCCTAGCCACCCATCACAGCAGTGGATTTGTTTTCATATCTTGTATAATAGGTGGATTTATAGACAGGTGCTTAGAGGAGAAAGAAAAGTGTAAATGAGAATTCCCCAGGAATTAGTGCTACAAATTACCTTATATTTTCACATTCTAGAAAAATATTCAGACATTGAATTCCTTGCATGTGTCAAGCCATGTGAGGTGTTGGGGATACTAATTTGAATTAGGCTGGTCCTGTCTTAAAGGAGCATAAGCTCAGTGGGAAGACAAGTAAACTCAAGATTATAAACTATAATGTCTTAGTTATCGAGTGCTGCTAGGACAGAAATACCACAAGTGGATGGCTTTAACAAACAAGTTTATTTTATCACAGGAGGCTAGAAGTCCAAATTCAGGGCACCAACTCTTGGGAAAGGCTTTTTCTCTGTGGAATCTGCGGGAAGGTCCTTGTCTCTTCAGCTTCTATTCATTGGCTCCTTGGTGATCTTCATGTGGCTTGGCATCTGTCTTCCCCCATCTTTGCTTCCTTCTCTGTCCTGATCATCCCTTTTATAGCTCAAAGGTGACTGGCTTAAAACACACCCTACACTAATATGGCCTCTTAACATAACAAAGAAAACCCATTCCAAAATGGGATTATAACCACAGGTATAGGGGTTAGGATTTACAACACATATTTTTAGGGGAGACACTTCAATCCATTACATATAGTTTTGAAATTCTGAGGCTAGAATGTGACAATCTTAGCTAATATTAAAAGATCCTTGATGAAGAAAGTGGACTGGGCAAGCAGAAACATGGAGAGATCCTTAAATGTGTGTTTTCAGACCCTGTTCTACTTCCTAACATCTAGAAGAGGGTTCAAATAAAAGAAAGTAAAAGAGTTTTATTTCTTGGTCAAGAAAAATCAATGCAAAATAAAAAAGATGAAGAGCAATCAATTTTTTTCATGGCAAATGTTGTGGAGAGCAGAAAATGAGGGAAGAGGGAAAAATGTGAATTATTTAGATTTGTAGACAGATGAGACATCTGGGCTGAAGGCTTAACAGCTGTAGAACTTACAAATCCTTTGGGGTCCTATCTGCTTTTCCACTAAAAAATGAAAAAGATTGACTCTTTCAGTGCTTGGTAGATACTGATCCCAAGATAATTCCATTCATTCATTCATTCATCCATCCATCCAATATTTATTGGCATTTACTGAGTGCTGAGGATGGAAAGGTAAACTACATTTCTCTGCAGACCCTGAAATGTACTGTGTTAAATAGTTTCCAATGAGCCCTGGGGGCACAGTGGTTATGCACTTTGCTGTTAACTGAAAAGTCAGTTGTTCGAACCCACCAGCGGTTTCGCAGGAGAAAAGACCTAGAGATCTGCTCCCATAAAGATTACAGCCTAGGAAACCCTGTGGAGCAGTACTACTCTGTCCTGTAGGGTTGCTATGAGTTGGAATGGACTCGACCACTCTCAACAACAATAACACATAGTCTTCAAAGATGGCTTCCACTGAGTCCTTCCCTCCCTTTTGTTGTTTCCCAGCCACTGGGATCCGGGCTGGCTTATGACTTGCTTTGACCAATAGAATGCAACACAAGTTATGTGTGTCAGTTCCTGGCCTAGCCTTTAAGAGGCCTGGCAGTTTCTACTTTCTCCCCAGAAGCCAATCACCATGGAAGAAGTCTGACTACCCTGAGACCACTGTGCTGTGAGGAAGCCCCAACTAGCCACATGGAGAGGCCTTGTAGGGAGTGAAGCCTTTTTGGGACTTCCAGCTCAAACCAGCCACCAGCTGAGTGCAGCCAGGCAAGGGACCTTAGCTAATGCCACATACAGCAGAACTGCCAGCTGAGTGCAGTCAACCCACAGAGATAATAAATGGTGGTTGTTTTATACCACTGTTTTGGGGTGGTTTGTAGATAACTGAAGCAAATAGCATCATTCCTGGCCAATTTCCAGGGCTATTCCCAGGACTTGTTGAGATCTGAGGCTTTCGAGTGGGATGGGGAAGCGGTGATTTTGGAGGATTCAGGCAGTCAGACTACTGGTAGGGGGTCAGAAGGGGAGGGTGTAGAAAGGGGTGGGCACCATGCATGCAACAAAAGAGGTGAGTCTCAGATACCTCCACTATTTATCATTCACCTTCAGGCCACTGCATCAGTCTCTGAGAACTCAAAGATGAAAACACAGTTCTTACTTGCAAGATATTAATCACTGCTTGATGAATAAATTCTGAGGCCATGGTATGTTCTGGCCTTGTAGCCGTTTAGTTCATCAAACGTTTCCCCAGAAGGACCACACCACCTGGCAAGACAGTTCATTTTACCCCTTTAGTTAAAAAAAAATTGATTTTATATATGTAATATATATTTATATATACCTATATATGAAATGGAAACCCTGGTGGCATAGTGGTTAAGAGCTACAACTGCTAACAAAATGTCGGCAGTTCAAATCCACCAGGCGCTCCTTGGAAACCCTATGGGGCGGTTCTACTCTGTCCGATAGGGTCACTATGAGTCGAAATTGACTTGACAGCAACGGGTTTGGTTTGGTTTTGGTATATATGAAATATATAGGTATATATAAATACATAAGGTTGCTATGAGTCGAAACTGACTCCATGGCACCTAAAAACAACATATATGAAATATATATGGATATATATACACAATTTATATATGTGTATAGAAACCTTTCAAAAGCTGCTGGTTCCACTAAACCTCAACCTGCCCAATTTTTTTAGTAAGTTGTGTTTTCTGTCACATTAGAATTTTAAAAATAACAAGTGTCAAACTCTTAAAACTTCTTATAAAGAACAAACTGCATCCAGCTAACAGTAAACTACGGAAACTTAAGGGCAGGCAGCCAAAGAGAGAAGCACAAAGTTTGAATAAGCAGCCAGCCAGGTTCTGGATAATTAAGTAATAAAGTCAATATTGAATAAAATGGCTCAGCCCAAGGGTTAGCAATGAGTTTTTCTATTTGTTGAAAAGGATATTTGCAGATGGTGAAAATGATGCAGCTCTAAAATTCTCAACATAAGCCATTTTAGATTACCTTTCCTTTGATTTTGATGAAACCATCTAAACTGATGACATGCAGGAGCCAATGAGAAATGGCACTTTGAGAGCTTCTGGTGGTCTGTGAATTGGCTATGCCCATGCCCTACTGGTCAAATGCCATGGTGGCTGCCTCTGGCTATATGTTGGCACATTTGGTAGCTGGTTTATAGTCAGGACTACCCCTCTTCTCTCTGTCCCCCCACCCCCACCCCATTTCTGTTCCAGCCCTGGCATTATTTAGCTGTGTAGCCTTGGGCAAATCAATTTCTCCAGGCCTCAATTTTCTCATTTAAAAAATGAGGAGGTGGGATTAAGCCCATTATTTTATTAAAAAAAATCATAAACAACAAAGAAAGAAAAAGAGTCAGAAAGGAGCAATGGAGAAAAAGGAAAGAGACAATTTGTATACGAGTAAAGTTCCACAGACAATTCAGGCATACTGTGCCATAACTTGCCACTGTCTAGATTAAATCATGTTGCTTCTTACATGATTTCCCACATGGAAATTCTGTTAGAAATTCTCCAAAACTGTGCTCTGATCCATCTTTTGGCAAGCTTTTTTCTCCTTTCGGAGAGAAAAGCTGAGCTCAATCATTTTGGACTGTACATTCCTGCTCTTTCTTCCTCTCAGTGATTCTTTTAGTGCATATGTTTTTTTGTATTGAAAATAGACATTTTACTTTATTTATACAAGGTACAATTTCAAAATACAAATCATATCGTATGTAAATATAGTAGACGAGAAGTATAAATATAAATGCATACATATGTAAAATGTCACTGAGTTCAGTTTTCTTCTTTCTGAATCCTTAAATCAAGAGGATCCATTGGGTATGGCTTTTCTTCCACCAGGTCACTGCTCCCTTTCACTGCACTGTGGAGTACCTAACTGAAGATAGAGTTTTTAGGAGCTGAAATGCTGGTGTCATCCTTTAGGCATCTTCAAGCCAGGAAGAGCCTTGTAATTAACTTAGAGCCTCAGGTATTCTTTTATTTGTAAACTACAAGTCAGGATGAGGGACACAATAGATAGTCAAGCTGATAAACTGTCCTGAAACGTTATAAGGAAACAAAAACCCTAATGAGGAAGACCTGAAGCCTTCAACCTCTCCCTGGAAAGCTTCAATGGCTCTGACTTTGGGAACCTGGCCCATACACCGGCGGCGTGACATGACAGTCAGTCAGAATCCATCTATGGCTGGAGAACCTACCCATACAGGAGATGCCTCGGCTGAGCACCGTAGGGAAAGTAAAGCCAGGGATGTTTTATTATTCTGGTGGGCTTTTTCCTGACACTTAACTCCTTGAGCTTTTTCTACGTTCTCCTTTACCAAAGCAGAGTTGGCTCCTATACTTTAGAAGTTCTGGGCTTGGTTTTCCCCTTGAGTTTCATAAGTTGTATTGGTAGTCTTCTGTATCTTCTTGTCTGTTGCTAGTCTCTGCAGTCATTGGCATATCTTCTATATTATCCATTTCAACGTTCGGTGTTGGGGGATATTGCCTGAAAAGCAGATAATTCACAGGTTTTGAAAAGAGGAGTGGGTCATCCTCAAATTAAATAAGCAGACAATTGTTATGGAATGTGTGTGTCTAGCACTGTGTGGATTACATTAGCAGACACAAGCCTGCCCCTCAAGAATCGTAAGATACTTAGACTTCAATTATCTGTGTCACTCACAGAAAGAGAAAACCTAGATTGCCTAAACTTACAGACGGTATTTAAATCCTATTTGGTATTTTCAACCTTCCCATCCACCAAAGATTTATCAGTCCCGTTGGAGCAACTCACCCTCCTCCCACCACCTACCTTGCCAATCTTCTGCTAAAAAGTAGTAGTTCAAATGGCAGGGAACAAGAAAAGAAAAAGAGTGACTAGGAGACTGGCTAAGCCAGACTTAATAATCTTGATAAAAATGATTTAACATTTATAAAGCTTTTAAAACAGTTCCTGGCACTTAGTGTTAGAAAAACAAATAAATATATTAATTAGTCCTTGGATAACCAAGAGTGGGAGAGGTAGAACATTTTAATTTCATATGCTTGCCCTCCTGTCACTGGACTTTTTCAATTTTTTGGGCCCTGAGTATCTGGGTCAGCTCTTTCTTCCATGGCTTATAAAAGCAACCTCCCAAAGATAAGCAATTTGTTAGGACATTTTAAGGGGAGCAACTTGAGCTCCATGGAGTGAGAACTAAGCTATAAATAAGGACTCTAGGTCAACTCACTGAAAATTTGTTAAGTGCCAATTTGTTGACAAATCTACTTAATAACCAGTTTGCACAAAACCACTTTATGGAAAGATTGATGCACCAAATGACCAGGTAATCACACTTATCAAATTTACCAATTCTTATTAAAGATATGAGTATTTCTTTATTACAGTCAGTGAATATTTTCCTTTTGTGAGTATATTTACTGGCCATATATATCAAATTTATGAATTCTTTTTAAAAATATATTTTTAATGTATTATTCTTAAAAATATTTAGGGTATATTCTTTTTAATATGTCCAGTGAATATATTTAGTCATTTTATTTTTCAGAATACATATTTTAATATATTTAATCATCATAATCTCCTAAAATCTCAAATTCAGCATTTTATGTGGAAATTTTTCCATTTTAATGATACTTTGAAATCCCTTAAAAAGTCATTTTCTGCTTTGCCAACATTTTAGTGTATTTACGGTTGTTGTAAGTGGCCCTGGTGGTGCAATGGTTAAGCTCTCAGCTGCTAACCAAAAGGTCGGTGATTTAAACCCACTAGAACCTCCTTGGGAGAAAAGACCTGATGATCTGCTCCGGTAAAGATTACAGGCTAGGAAATCCTATGGGGCAGTTCTACTCTGTCAGATGGGGTTGCTATGAGCTGGAATGGACTCAACAGCACACAACACAATAGGGCTGTTTTGACAATTTAAAGTAGTATCTCAACCTTAACTTGTTAATTTTCTCCACTATTTATGAAGTTTGTGGCATTTCTTATTGGTTGAGATGGTATTAACAGCTTTTGAAGACTTATGTGAAGTCTTTTTTTTAATTTAATTTAATTTTTATTTTTTATTGTACTTCAGGTGAAGGCTTACAGAACAGTTTCTCATGAAACAGTAGTACACATATTGTTTTATGACATTGGTTAACAACCCCACAACATGTCAACTCTCTCCCTTCTCGACCTTTATTTTTGGTGA